TAAATACAGATGTATCAATAATTATCTTAAATGTCAGTGGATTGAAAGCTCCAATCAAAAGATACAAAGATGAAGACTGGATGAAAAAAAAGAGAAAATAACCAATACAATATGCTATCTATAAGAGATGGACCTCAGGGCAAAGACACACATAGACTGGAAGTAAGAGGACGGAAAATAAATATTTCGTGCAAATAGAAATGACAAGAAAGCAGCCACTGCAATACTCATTTCAGACAAAATAGATTTTAAAACAAAGACCATAAAGAAAGATAAAGGAGAACACTATATAGTGATTAAAGGATCAATATAAGAAGATTTTACATTGTCAATATATTTACACCTAATATAGGAGCACTCAAATACATAAAACAAATACTAACTGACATAAAGGGAGAAATTGGTGGAAATACAATAATAGCAGAAGACTTTTAACACCCCACTCACACCTATGGACAGATATTCTAGACAGAAAATCAATAAGGCAATGGAAATTTTAAGTGATACAACAGTTAGACTTGGCATTTTCAGGACATTACATCAAAAACAAAACAAAACAGAATAAATACTCTTTCCAACTGTACATAGAACATTCTCTAGGACTGACTGCATTACTAGGGCATAAAACTAACCTCAACAAACTAATTGAGCTCTTAAACTAACATTTAAGAGTACAGACACTGTGCCAAGAATATGCTCTGACCACAACAGCATGAAACTAGAAATCAACCATAGGAAAAGAAATGAGGAAAAAAGAAAAAAAGATTACATGGAGACCAAACAATATGCTGCTGAAAAACCAATGGGTCAATGAGGAAATAAAAGAGGAAATTAAAAAATACCTTGAGACAGATGACAATGAAAATTCAACCATGCAAAATCTGGGATGCAGCAAAAGCAGATCTTACGTGGAAGTCCACAGCAATATAGGCTTTCCTCAAAAAATGAGAAAAATCTCAAATAAACAACTTAACCTACCTACATACCACCTAAAAGAATTAGAAAGAGAAGAACAAAACCTAAAGTCAGCAGAAGAAAGGAAATAAACAGGGAGGAAATAAATAAAATATAGATATATATAGATATGCATATATTAAAAAAAAACAGACAAAAAATCAATAAAACCAAGAGCTGGTTCTTAGAAACAATAAATAAAATTAACAAACCTCTGGCCAGGCTCACCAGGAAGATAAGAGAGAGAATCCAAAAAAAGAAAAAAAGAAACAAAAAAGGAGAAAACTCAGTCAATACTGAAGAAATACAAAATATCCTAAGAGAATACTATGAACAATTATATGCAAACAAATATGACAACCTAGAAGAAATAGACAACTTTCAAGAAACATACAGCTCACCAAAACTGAATCAAAAGAAACAGATTATCTGAACAGACCAATAATTAAAAATAAAATAGAATCTGTAAAAACAAAAAAACTTCCTACAAACAAAAGTCCAGGACCAGATGGTTTACGAGAATTCTACCAAGCATACAAAGAACTTATACTGATCCTTCTAAACCTCTTACAAAAGGTTGAAAAGATGCTGTTCTCTTGAAACATCCCACCCTCGCCTTTTCCCCACAGAGTCCACAAGTCTGTTCTATACATCTGAGTCTCTTTTTCTGTTTTGCATATAGGGTTATCGTTACCATCTTTCTAAATTCCATATATATGTGTTAGTATACTGTAATGGTCTTTATCTTTCTGGCTTACTTCGCTCTGTATAATGGGCTCCAGTTTCATCCATCTCATTAGAACTGATTCAAATGAATTCTTTTTAATGGCTGAGTAATATTCCATGGTGTATATGTACCACAGCTTCCTCATCCATTCNAACTCTGGGAGTTGGTGATGGACAGGGAGGCCTGGCATGCTGTGGTTCATGGGGTCGCAAAGAGTTGGACACGACTGAGTGACTGAACTGAACTGAACTGAACTGAAAAAAAAGAAACCTTTAAAAATTACATTAAAATATTAAAATACTTAGGAATGAAACTTAACCAAAGAAGCTAAAGACCTATACTGTGAAAACTATAGAACACTGATGAAGGAAACAGATGATTCAAAGAAATGGAAAGATAACTGGCAATCTTCAAATTTAATGCAATCACTATCAAAATACCCATGATATTTTTCACAGAACTAGAATAAATTACTCAAAAATGTAAATGGAACTGTAAGAGACCCAGAATTTCCAAAGCAATCCTAGTAAAAAAAAAAACAAAAAGGAGGCATAACTTTTCTAGATTTCAGACAGTGCTACAAAGTCACAGTAATCAAATCAAAACACTTTGGTATTAGTACAAAAATAGACATATGGATCAATGGGAAAAAAGCCCAGAAATAAATAAACTCACACATATGTTCAATTTATTTTCAACAGAGGATGAAAAAATATAAAATGAGAAAAAGACAGTCTCTGTCTTTTTCTCATTTTATAGTGGTGCTGGGAAAGTTGAACAGCTGCATGTAAATCAGTGAAGTTATTAGAATACACCCTCACACCATGCTCAAAAATAAACTCAAAATGGCTTAAAGGCAAACATAAGACATGGCACCAAAAAACTCCTAGAAGAGAGCACAGGCAAAACATCCTCTGACATAAATTGTACCGTGTTTTCTTGGGTCAGTCTTCCAAGGCAATAGCAATAAAAACAAAAATAAGTGAATGGGGCCTAATTAAACTTACAAGCTTTCATGCAGCAAAGGAGATCATACAAAAAAATGAAAAGACAACCTATGAACAGGAGAAAATATCTGCAAATAATGCAAGGGCTTAATCTACAAAATATACGACTGATACTGTATATAGCTCATACAACATAACAACAAAAAAGAAAACCCAATGGAAAAATGGAGAAAAGACATTAATAGACATTTCTCCAAAGACGACATACAAATAGCTATTATGCACATGGAAAGATGCTCAAAATTTCTAATTATAAGAGAAATGAAAATCAAAGCTACAATGAAGTACCGCTTCACACTATTCAGAATGGCCATCATTAAGATTAAAGGGAACCCTCCTATACTGTTGGTGGGCATATAAGTTGGTACAGTCATTATAGGAAACAGTATAGAGGTTCTTCAGAAAATTAAAGTTATAAATTACCATATGATCCAGCAGCTCTACGCCCAGGCATTTACCCAGACAAAACTACAATTCACCAAGGATCCCTATGTTCATAGCAGTAATATTCACAATAGCTGAGACATGAAAACAACTTAAATGTCCATCAACAGAAGAATGGATAAAGAAGATGTGGTACATATATACAATGGAATACGAAAAAAGAATGAAATAATGCCATTTGCAGCAACACAGATGTAACTAGAGATGATCATCCTAAGTGAAGTCACAGAGAAAAAGACAAATACCATATGATATCACTTATATTTGGAATCTAAAATGTGACACAAATGAACCTATCTACCAAACAGAAACACACTCTCATAGAGAACAACTTGTGTTACCAAAGAAGAGAGGGAAAGGGATGAACTAGGAGTTTGGGTCAGCAGAAATAAACTATTATAGTTAGAATGGATAAACAACAAGGTCCTACTGTATAGCACAGGGGACTATATCCAATCTTCTTGGATAAATCATACTGGAAAAGAATGTTTTAAAAATGTTTACATGTGTATTACTGACTGGAATAAAAAAAAACTTTGCCAGAGAGTAAAAATTAGCGTAACATTGTAAATCAACTATACTTCAAATAAAAGAAAAAAAGAATTGAGTTCCCTATCACTGCAGGGGAGCAAACAAAGAAATGATGACAACCAGTAAGGGATGCAAAAAGAGTTTCCTGATTCAGAGAGAGATTCAACCGGTTGACCCCTAAGTATTTCTCATGCCTAAGAATCTATAAGCTTTTGATATTTAGCACTAGGACATTCTGTAAACTGAAAAAGCATACACTCTCAGAAAGTTTTAAAAAATCATTCTTATATGATGTTCTAGAAATATGACTGTTCATTAAATTCTATGAGCAATAAACCTTGAAGATTTAATATGAAAGAATAGTCCTTTTATATATGTGTGCACATGTGTGTCACGTGCACATGCTAAGTCACTTCAGTCATGTCTGACTCTTTGTGACCCAATGGACCGTAGCCCACCAAGGGCCTCTGTCCACAGAATTCTCCAGGCAAGAATACTGGGGTGGGTTTCTGTGCCTTCCACCAGGGGATCTTCCCAACCCAGGAAATGAACCCATGTCTCTTGCGACTCCTGCCTTACAGGATATTTACTGAAGCCCTATATACACATATATATAAGTAGTTTACATATTATATATGGCTTATATCCGAACAAAATGCACTTATAAACTTACACTAGGTTTCAAAAGATTAGCTCTAGACAAGCAATAATTCAATTTTAAGTTGTTACTGAAACTCCTCATTAAAGGGTGTGTGTCTGTACAGATCACTTTTAAAGGAACTTATTTACTGTAGTGTCTGGGTTAACAAAATTAGCAGCACTGAAATAAAAATAGGGAGGAAGGATATAGTCTAAAGTTAGAGTTAAGACACCATAATGACTCTAGAAGTGTTTGTGATGTTAACCAGCTTTGTAACCTTGGACAACACATTTTAATCATCAGGCTCTAGTTTTCTCAAATATCAAATAAGATGAGAACCACTTGTTGGGCATATTAAAATTTTCAGAGTTTCTGATTCAGAAGATATGAAGTAGGGTAGAAAATTTACATTTCTAAGTTCCCAGATGCTGCTAATTTAGTCAAGGAACAGCACATGCGATGCTGCTAATTTAGTCAAGGAACAGCACATAGGGATGGAATAAGAATTGAGAAGATGATGGTAGTTACTAAACCCTTGATACTTTATAGCTGCAACAGAGAGGGTGGCCAGCATCTAATAAATTACATCCAAACTGTAATCACCTATTAAATTAAAAATTCATTTGATTTGAAGGAAGAGTTCCCCTTTGGATTTCAACAGAGACTTTTGAACATGCAAAGATTCTGTAGCACTTACGTCATAGCTTGATAAATGGATTCAATCCCATAACGCATGGCAAATTCATCAACTATTTCTTGAGAGGCGTCATCAAAGAAAACCTTCCAGGCTTCATCCCCTTTGACCTCTGGGATTTTCACTCCACCATTAGCTTTCACTTCAGTCAAGTAATGGAACAAATTCTAAAAGTAAGTGTTTTTCAAACGTTCAGTTTTCTCAGACTAGGCCTGACATATTTAACTGTAACTTTCCGTAAATTATACTTACATTGTAATTGCATCTAATGTTTCATCAGAATCTATAAGCAATAGCAATATCCCAGATTTTCATTTTACTGAATCTCATCTTAATGCAAATTCTGATTTTATTTCTGTCTAGCTCTATACAGAATCAATGATTTAAATGTTTCAGGTACATTGTATCATTTTAGAAGGAAGTAAATGGTTTTGCAAGTAAATATTTCTACATGCTAGCACATATTTTGCATTCATGGGCTCTGAGTAAATTAAAAAGCTCTGGATGAATAATGTGTTTTGACTATGTTAATACAAACTCTAGATATGCAAATAAAACTAAAGCACTTCAGCTGCAAAATGGTACAAGTCATGACAATGAATTCAGGTTGAAAACAAATATTTTACAATTTCGTAATGAAAAAAATCACTACATACAATTCCTTTTTGCTTCTAAGAAGTTTAGAAACTGCTGCAGCATGGGTTATTGAAGGACCCTTTCTGAACTGGATTTCAGTTCTTTTGGGTTCTTGGGCCCACAGAAAAGACTCTGAAAAGTAAAGCAAGATGCTATTCCTGTCATTCCAAATCTCTGCCCACATTTTATGGCCAGAGTTGGCTCCCTACCCTGCCAGTTTGAGATTTATTGCTATTGGTCTAAAAACTGAACCACTTTTCTTTTTTTTAAATTTTATTTTTAATTAAAGGATGCTTACTTTACAGTATTGTGTTGGTTTCTGTCCTACATCAAATGAATCAGTCATAGGTATACATATGTCCCTCCCTCTTGAGCCACCCTCTACCGCCCACCCCATCCCACTCCCCTAGGCTGTCACAGAACACTGCATTTGGTGAGCCACCTTCCTTGATGGATTATCACTGGCTAGTCTGTACTCAGGAGAGTGGTTCTCTAATTACTTGGTTCTATCTCTAATTACTGTGCAATGTGTAAATGACTTAGTTACTGTTCCTTGTTTCCTTCTTTAGTGAAAGGGAGATGCAATTAATTACATATACATTTTCATAGATATACTTAGGAAAAGTCGTGTACAAAGAGCAATGATTCTCCCAGCTATCTTTCTGTTTTGTAGGAAGGTACTTTCTCTGTATCTCTTTGAAGAGGGGGAAAGGTATAGTCCTCAGCTTCACCACATATTTTTTGATACATGGGATGTGTCTTTTGCATCATGGTAAAGCTCCAGTGACATGTTAAACTAAGCTCTCAGTTGCAAAGCATCTGGTAGAAGCCCAAGATTGCTTGTCTGTGCAGGGACACTGAGGCACAAGGGGCCTAGTGCATCTGCCCTTTTGATTCAGTCTGAGTGCTCTCTACTTCTTTCTAAGCCAACCAAGCTCCTCTTTTTGGATAGTATATTCTCTAGTATTCATGGGTGCAAACCTACATTCTGATACTTGCTACCCAGATATGTTTGTGGAAAGGGTAGTTAAAATGGAGGAGGGTTCAGTATGTATGAAGTCCTCTATTATACTCAGAAAAAGACAAATTTACTGCTAATTACATTGGCTCCCCAACATTTCTACAACATCAGATTTTTCATATTTAATACACAATAGTCCTAATTAAATCTTCAACATAACCTGAGCACTAACTCAAGAGTTCTCAAAAATTAGCATGATTTGGATCTTCTCCTTCATTATTACAGTATTGATACTATAGATTTAATGCTTCCAAAATATCATGACTTATTTCTTCAATGAATGCTTTCTAACAGTCTTCTTCCTCCCTGGAAGGATGGTAATTTGCTCTACTTGTTCATTATCATCTCATTGCCTTGTTTATTAAAACTTGCCTCATATGCTTGTTCTAAACCTCATTTTAAGACAACCAGCCCTCTCTTCAGGGGGCAATATGTAGGCTATGTGATATCCTAGCACATCACTTGCTATTGTAAAGAATAAGAACTTCAGGGACAATTTCACAAACCTAATTCAATTCTATTTTTAAAACAAATATTTTGTTGCATTGTCTCTAATCAATGCAATTTATCTAGGTCTTATTATTAATATAATTCAAGTTACTTACCTCATGTAGACATGTATATTGTATATGATATGGAGCAACCTTCTCCTCTCCTTTTATTTCCACATTAATTTTCAGTCGAATGGCCCCAGACACAGCTGATTTATCTGTCCGTTTCTCTGATAAAGCAGAAATTGGTCAGTCATTTTTGACAATATCATTTTTCTTATACAAGTTCTCAAAAGCTTAAAAAAAGGCTTATATTGCTAAAAGTCATTTTTTTAGATCAGGTTTGATTAACAATAATGATTCTGCTAAATACAATTTAAAGTAATGTGCCTATATGTCATTGAGATTGTCAAAATGTGATATAGGTATTTCAAACAAAAAAGCTTAACCAGATGATTCTACCATTCTGATACAAAGTTCCATGTACTAGATCAGTTAAGATGATAAAAATTAATTATTTGTGCAATTAAAAGCAAAATAACTCAAAGATAAAATTAATCAGGAGAGTACTTTATCAAAAAGTCTCATTCTTTCTGTCCTTGAAAAAAGAAGTCAAAGCTCTAACAAAAACATCTGTTAATAGTTTTCTCTGTCAGTGATTCATGAAGACCTATAGTCTACAACCTGTGTTTACTTATGAGTGTTAGATTCTTTCTTTGTTTGAATGGAGTCAATATGTAGTCAATTCAAATAATGTGTGTGTAATGTATGTGTATATATGCATCTGATATGAACTTAGGGGTAGCTTTGAGAGAAAGATAAACTTAGACAAATTTCTAGGATGTGAATGTAGGTATGGGACCTATGACTGATACCTGCTTCCCTGATGAAACACATAAAGAAGCAAGCTGATCCATCTAAAAAAACCAAGATGAAAATGGAGAGCCACACCAAGTCAGTGGTGAAGACTTCTTTAATTGCCCCTCTTTCTACGCATTACTATATTTTTAGCCAGATAAGATACAGTTAACTCATGAAGTCTACTTTCTTCTTGTGGAATGTCTGCTGATTTTTCATGGTTAATAGTTAATAGTCACTGTGTTGCTAAGAATCTTCACTTAATGCTGGGATTATGAGAGTTTCTCCTACTGGCTAGGAGAGTTGATTCTCAGCAAATGCTTAAGTTGTCTGCTGTAGCCAAGAGAAAGTCAGGTCTTCAGACCTCTTTGTCACAGACCTTTGCCCAGGAAAGGTCTCTGCATGGTGAAATGAATTCTGAGTGTTGAGGAAGGAGTAACACTGCACAAAGAATGAAAATATGTTACTAATGGGGATTGAACCCATTGTGGATTTTATACAAAGCTAAAACCTGTTTTCCCTCTAAAGGTTAAACATCAGTAATGATGGCACAAAAGTGTGAATTGAGGATGAGCAGGCACAGGCATTCATGTTGGGCTGCATCGTATTTTTCTCTCCATACACTGAAGGACAGTTTCTGCAGGAGAGCTGGGTGGCAGATTTTATTAGAAGCACACTCAAATTCTTTTGCAAACTGACTGTACCCTTGTACATTTTGTCAAAAGAATAATTTGAGGAATTTCTCTTCTGAATTATAACTCAATTCAACAATATGCTAATTTATCACAGGAAAACAAAAGTGCATGTACAGTCAATTAAATTGTTCTTTAATTAAAACACAACTTGTGAGAATTGTGCAGAGTTAACCATCTGAAATGTACCCTTTCCTAACATCTCTGTTTTTATGTATAAAGTTATTTAATAGTATAAACAAGATACAGGAGGATTATCATCACAAATGAAGCAAAAACTCTATGCCAATAATGGAGAAGCATTACTTTTAAGAGAGATTTCTTCAAAATAAAATATTTTCGATGATGAGTTTTTAGTCTAACTTGAATTGTTTGTATTCAGTTACATCTCTCTCCTTCTTAATTTAGACAGCCATCAATTGTGTAACCTCATCCCTTAACTTTGCAAACTGCTGTATTACTTGAAGTACGTAGGTTCTAAAAAGTGAAAAGCACTCTGTAATGTGCTAAAATATGTAGGTATCCTAAAATCAAACATTTCATAATCCTGGAAGTGTGTAAACTTTTCTTAGATTCACCACCATATCTTAAAAATGTAATTTAAAAATTCCCAGTAATATGATAAGTATATTTTTAGATCATGTCCTTTACAGAAAATGAGGTGATCCATATCTTTTTATTGTTATTTAAGTCAGCACTAAAGATTCTAGGTTATTATTCAATTGTGGGAAAAGTCAAATTAAAACTTATCTTTATTTAATTCTTGGTACAATAATAAAATTCCATTTTAAAATTATGCCAATTAAACATTCTCATATCTTCATCATCAGAACAAGCATATGGGTAAAGCTTTGCCTTACTAAAGCCTACTTTCATATCATCTTGGGTACATGAGACAAGTGCTCGGGCCTGGTGCACTGGGAAGACCCAGAGGGATCGGGTGGAGAGGGAGGTGGGAGGGGGAACTGGGATGGGGAATACATGTTAATCCATGGCTAATTCATATCAATGTATAACAAAAACTACTGTAATGATGTAANTGTCATTTGATGTTAGCAATTTTTTTTAAAATCTTATCTAATCAAGAAAGGCATACCACATTGCATAGTAAATAAGATTTCCCATGGACCATTCCATCCATTGGATGTTGCAGGTATCAAAGATATTGAAAAAAGGCTGCAATTGTTAAGTAATGTTAATGAAAGAAAATCCTGCCCCATTCCATTCTATTTCTTTTAACTGAACTACATATAACTGAATATGGGTCAGAAATCTGTGGGCTGCTTTCTCTATATTTCCTATTTGCAACAGTTATCTATGGCAACATGTCTATGCTCAGAAAATTATGTATCATAAAGCTAATTTAATTGGAATGGGTGTTGAGAAAGTGGCATTAGATAGTCTGCCTAATAAGTTAAAAATCTCAGTTAAGCATATAAGATATTGTTAAATCAAGTCATGACATAAGGATGACCAATATCTCTAAAAATTCTCCTTTTATCTTGGCTATATTTCTCCTTATGTTCCTCATCTTCTCAAAACTTAAGCTTGATGAATCACATTCTTATATTCCTTTGTAGTTATGGTCCAGATGTTTGACCTGCATTCAAGCAATACCTGAACTCAAATTGAGCAAAGTGAAGCAGTGGTTGTATTGTGGGGTTTAATTCTTTTAGCAACAAGGGTGGTGGTCTTTAGCACTTTGTCATACAGTCTCTGGTATTTAGTACTGAGGGACAAATAATTGATCAATAGTGGCAATTGTGTGTGTGTGTGTGTTTTTTTGCAAAGAAGCCTCATGATATAATTGGACATTGTTTTTGCACAGTTGATTTAGAGGATGGCCTCTGGCCTCTCCAAAAACTCTTGAGCAATCTGAGTCTATGAAACAATTTTTTTTTCCTGCATAAACTAGAGTGGGTTCTGTTGGCTGCAATGAACAATAATGAATAATGTAATAGTTTTCAAAGAATGAAGAGAGCTACAATAATAGAATTTCAAATGTGGAACTGACTTTGTGGAGGAGATGATGAGGGCAAGCATTGAAGGTTTAATTACCTCAGGCTTCAGAGCCACGGCATTTTGGATTGCAATAGCAAAACAGCTGGTCAAACTGTTGTTTGCTATACTTTGGAATCGTGACCACATACCGACTCAAGCTTTTTTATTAGTATGAATGGTATGAGTAAAATTCAGAATATGGGCATATGTTCATTAAGTTTTGCTGCTTTGACAAATGTACTGTGGCAGATAGAGATGCACTCAAACTAGAGCTCGACTCCTCTAAGCAGAGATGCAAGGGAACACAGCTATTCTGAAAGAGGTCACTTTGCTTGTGTCCCACACAACTGAGAATATCACAATTTGGAACTACACAGGGTTGAAGACTGCCAGCTGCTTCTGTATACAAAATGTATGCATACAAGCAGAGGTTTCTGAGTGCAACTTCAAAAATAGGTAAAACTGTTACTCCAGGGTATTTCAAACACCTTTCTTTAGGAAGTCTCTAGGTGACAATGAAAGGGAAGTTAATGGAAAAGATCAGATTAATGGTGCTGCGCCCTGGCATACAGTGTTATAGGGCTATGGGCAGGGGTTATAGGGGTAGAGGCAGCAGCCATTAGGCTAAGAGATAGGAACTGGTCAGAACAAAGGAGCCAGTGATAATGAGGTAAATTTTCCAGGGGTATGTGGTTACTTAAAAATTGTCTTGAAGCTCACCTCCTGGAAGTCCGATAAAACTTCCAGGGCATGGTACTTTTAAATGTGCCCCAGGGTTGCTACAGGCTTTATTTAAGGTAATTTCTGGGTCCTTGAACTCATAGCAGTAGGAAGTGGACTCCAAGTAGAACCTCTTCCCAGCTAGGAAGACCATAAACCTGGATTTCCTAGGATGGTCCCAATTTATGGTTTCGTAGATACACAGTGCCTTTTAAATCTTTTTAGAGCCCTCTTTCATTTACTTTCATTTTACACAGCATCTGCGTAGAATGCAGGCATTGGCACATTGGTCAAGGAAGGCCCCCTCAGATGTAGAACCAAGGACTTGGAGAAAATATATAAAAGAAATTCACCAAGAAGTGCTAAGGCCTGCCAGATTGGCTATCCAAGGAATGACTTCTGTTGCTAGTATCAGGAAATCCTGAGTAACCTGCTGAGCAGGACTCTATATTTGCTATATGCCACTGACAGTCATATGCTTCCCTTGTTCCCTGTTACTGAGACTTTTTCTTTTTAGGATAAACTGCTTTTATCCTAATTTCTTTTCTCTTTATACTAATACACTGGAGATATTAGAAGAAAATGATGTATCTTTAATTTATAGACTTAGGAATGACAAAGAACCAAACCTGGAGGTGATAAAGATATTACCCAAAGAGCCTAGACTTCATACTAAACCCAGTAACTGGATATAATTTGGGGGCTACCTACCTTGGAAGACAGAGGATGGATCCATTACGTTTAAAGTACATACAGAGATGGAAATATCATGAATAAATACTGAATGCTCAAAGAGGTAGAAGGTGACAGATACCATAAGTTCATTCAGCCAATAATTTTTCAAGCCCTCCTTCCCTTTCCTGCTTCTGTGCAATATCCTAGTCTCCCTTGAAACTAGAGATGACCACTTGACACAGTTCTACAATGAGATATAAGCAAAAGTCTTCTGGCTCTGTGTCTTCTATTTTCTTCTTTTATTCTTCTGGAACATGGATGTAGAACATCTTCCACGGAAGATGATAAATGAGGAACATAGGTTAAGCTTTTCACTTTGAAGGGATAATAGAGTTACCACTGTTGTTGTTTGGTTGCTCAGTTGGGTCTGACTCTTTGCAACCCCATGGACTGGAGCTCACCAGGCTCCTCTGTCCATGAGATATCTCAGGCAATGCTGGACAGGGTTGCTATTTCCTTCTCCATACTAGCCCTCAAACGCCTATACCTGGAATTCTTGTTAAATGAAATAAATCTCTTTTTGACTAAGCCACCATCATGGCTTAATAAGAAGTTTAATAAAATTCTAACTGAATCAGTGGGAAAATAATTTAAAAATCTACCAAGTTCATTTTGTTTGATTATATACAAAATGGTTTAAAATGTTTAATTATTAACTCTTACTATTTTTATACTTGCTGTGTTTTATGTCATTCCTTAACTATTTAGCATGTGTTTCACAAACTTTGACTTTTATAAAAATACAAAGGTTTATTATTTGGATGGGAAACTGTATGCTCATACAGGAAAATCTGACAGAAAGATTTTTTACACACAAGAGAAAAATCTATCACTCATAACTCCATTAAATCTTACTCTATTAGATCATTTCCACCCTGACTAATTAGCTGACAAAGATTCCTGTCTTAATTCACGAGCTTGCGACTTGCCTTTCCTATAACAGGAGAATAAAATATTTTGCTTCACAAACTCGTGGTAAATAAAGTACTGTTAGGACAATTTGCATCATACTTTTTTCTTAACTAAAAACAATGTGCATCTTAAAGAGTAATTAATATGCCCAATTTTATGTTTTTTCATTATTAAAGACAGGAATGGCTTTGTTTCCATGGGAATAAGTTATTTTATTCTTTCGGAAATTAAAGCAAAGCATTTCACTCTTTGGAACTCAGGATTATTATGTGTGTTTATATTCTGTTTTGCCTTTATTTCTATTTTCAATTTGCAGGTACCCTAATCTCTGCACTGCCAATCACTATTTGGCCAATTTTCTTTAGGCAGCAATCCAAAAGCCTAATTTCTTTATAATTACTTATACTAAATTTTCAAATGGTCTCACTGCAATTTTTTTTTTTTTAGATTTAGTTTCCTGGATATAGTCCAAATACATATCTCTTATAATTAAAACAAAACAAAGACAAAAAGCAAATTAAAAAACCAAACAAAAATAAACCCCAAACCCAAGTTATTGAAGTTTAACCTATTCTGAGAAGGACTGTTTTACCTAAAGAGATGCTCATGAACTTCATAAAGCCAATAAAGCCTGATTTCAATAGAACAACAAGCTCTTGCTCAGTCATCCTCTGATGGGAAGTCATGAAAGTAGTATATGAGCAAAGAGTCATTCAAAAATGAGAACTGTATCTATAGTTGAACTAGTTATAATGAAGCAACTAAAATAATCTCACATGGCAACTATACCAAGAAAAAAAACAATAGTAAATGAAGTTGCAATTAAAATCATATTCTTTAAGAATCTGTAAAATTCTAGCTATATATTTTAAGTATAGTAAATGAAATTTCTATAATATTTTAAATGTCATTGTATCAAATTTTGTTAATAGACACATAAGATAGATATTAAATGTATATATAAATGTGAGTTTATATACATATATATGCACTGAAACAATCTGTAAGGTTATATTCAAAATATAGGTGGTAAGATTAGTGAAATTTTTTTTAGTCTTTATCTTTTCTTGTTATAATCAACAAAATTGTATTTTAAAAAATCTAACAATTATAAATAATCTCTTTCAGCTCAAGCTGAAAGGCAGGGAATTGACTGAAAAAAATCATCAGCCAGAAACTTGCAAGAGCTATCCAGAGGCAAAGCAGCAGCAGCCTTTCAAACAGTAATTAAATTCTCTAGTTACAGCTAAATTCCTTAAACTCTGACCCACCAAATGGAAATATGTGAGACACTTTATGCACACATTTCCTCTCAGTGATTTATTATGAATTTTGCAACCCACTTCCATCACAGTATAGGTGTCTTGTTATTGAATCAAGAGCCCTAACCCTATTACTTTCAATTGCATTAGAGCAGAGAGACAAACTCTAAGTTCAAAACCGGTGCCAGTGAACAGTGACTTTTCCAACTACATTTATCAAGGCCATTTAATTATGGGAATCTGAATTGACAAAAAAAAAAAAAAAAGGAAAGAAAAAAACACCAGTCCTCAACATATTCCTTTTGTTTAAGTTTTTCTGATGGTTTTCTATGTAGTAATCGGATGTTGTAGATCTATTCTACTACTGTAATAGATCAGAGTACCAAAGAACAAAGATACATCAATCTTATATGATACACCAATTTTCCTGCCCCACCTTACAGTCCTACAATTGGATCATTAATACCTCANAGGATAAGTATGGTGGCAGAGACCAGCCTGCAGGAGGGAGGGTTTTTAAAAGGGGAGGTGGAAGTGTGGCAGGCCTCTCCCAGTTAGCATCCCTCAGGGTTGGTGTGCATGGAGCTGGCAGGCGGTAAACCAGCCTTCCAGCCCACTTTGCTCCTGCGGCAGCTCCACCCAAGAGGGAAAGGTGTGTTCATGTGTACACTTTCTCAACAAGAAAGCAGGGCAAGAACTGCTTTCCCTGTATTTTCTGTAATTTTTATGGTACCATGGACACAATCAAGGCCTCTGAAACCTAAGAATCACATATAAATTAAAATATGTCTCCTCACAGATGTACAGAACAGACTTTTGGACTCTGTGGGAGAAGGCGAGGGTGGGATGTTTTGAGAGAACAGCATCGAAACATGTATATTATCAAGGGTGAAAGAGATCACCAGCCCAGGTTGGATGCATGAGACAAGTGCTCGGGGCTGGTGCACTGGGAAGACACAGTGGGATGGGGAGGGGAGGGAGGCGGGAGGGGGGGATCAGGATGGGGAACACATGTAAATCCATGGCTGATTCATGCCAATGTATGGCAAAAACCACTACAATACTGTAAAGTAGTTAGCCTCCAACTAATAAAAATAAATGGAAAAAAAAAGAAAATGAAAATATAGAGCAGCAATAGCAGTTCTAGAAGAGAAGTGTATAATGATAAATGCCCTTATTAAAACTAGCGGGATACAAAGTCAACATACAAGAATTGGCAGTATTTCTATACACAAGCAACTCTCAGAATGTTTTCTTAAAAAAAAAAAGAAAAAAGATGATAAAATATTAGTTACGTTAAAGTAATAAAAGTAAGAAATTTGCTTGTTTAGAAAAATTCTTCACGTCAATTTTGCTGTGAAAAGAGAGACCACTTAGGGAGAGAGATCAGAAAACAGGAAGGTCTATAAGATCACTTATATGTGAAATCTAGAAAACAAACTAGAAAGAACAAAATAGTGCTTACCAGGGATCTAGAAGATGGGGAAATAGGAGAGATGATATTTAAGAGTACAAAATAGTAGCTAAATGAGTCCTAGAAGATGGAACGCACAGTATAATGAATACAGGCAATGATATTATAATCATCAAATCTGCTAATAGATTAGATCTTAATTATACCCATGATAAAAAGGTAATGATAATCATGATATGTGATAGAGGAGCTAGTTAATGCTACAATGGCAACCATATTATAGTGTACATGTATCAAATCAACCTGCTGTTCCTTAAATCTATATGCCAAATATAATTTTTTAAAAAAGCAACGACATATATAGAAAACAGAAGGATCAAATTACTGTCTAAAAAATTAGGAGAAACATAAATGAGTGTGAGTATAAGATTGTGTGCAATAAGGGTGGTTTCTACTCACCACCTCCCTTGGTTCACCATACATTTTACCAGCTCAGACATTTTTTTCATTGTGTTTCATAGGGTAAGGATATCTTTTCCCTAGTCCTCTACCTGAAACATCTACCTGCCTCTCAATACCTGATAAAAGATCACCTCTGTATGAAAATTCCCTAAAAAACATTTTTTCCAGTCCCTAGCACTAGAGCAATTAGATATGAAAAAATAATTTACCAAAAATATAAGAAAATATCATTGGTCAAAGAAATCATACTCTTCTTTATTATTTTCTTTAACTATTACAAATGTGCATATTCCAATTGGTGGCTACTTGTATAGCTGAAATTTAACCATGTGCTTGAAGTTGGGGAAAAGATTCACTTTGGAAAAATGTTTGACGTTTATTG